ATATGTGTAAGTATATGTATATAGCATCATAATAAGTCTAATTCATGGTCTACTTGTAGTGTACTTTTCAGGTTGCTAAAAAACTCCCATACAAAACATCTACATGATATGAAATACAAATAATTTTCCCACAAGGTTTTACCATTTTTTTAACTATTTACACACATCCTAATTTATTTTATAAAGTAACATCTTGGAGGAAATTTTGATGTCTTCAGGGTCCATGCCCTTACAAAATAGTAATGCCTTATCCTTCAATAAATCTTTCCAAGCTATTTCATTACAGAAATTATAAGTGTATATGATTAAAAACAAAAAATTCTACAAAGAATTCAAAGAAAAGAAAAAAGCCCCAAAGTTCATGCCATGGAAACAATCTGAAATAATATAATCCAAGAGAACACGCTTCTATAAGTCAATTTTTGCATAAATAAATAAAGAACAAGTCGAAAACTGAAGTAGTCATGTAGACAGTCTCCCTTCCAGGAGGTAGACCATCCTTCCTCACCTTGCTAAATGAGGGCTGAGCCAAGCCACCTATTTGAAGTAAAAGGAATTCTAAAATATAATGAATTTGTATATAAAGATGGAAATCTCACACTCTTTGTCATTAGTGATCAGGTTTACAATCACCAGTAGTCTGTTGTGTTAACAGGGTCCACCCTACAGATGACTCTTCCCTTAAGTTGAAACTCATCCAACTATTTCCCAAATGTTTCTCTTCCAAGTAGCATCCTGATACATGTTAGAATCCCACATATAAATTCTAGGAAAGTGGGAAAGAAACATTCAGTCTATAATTGAGGGCAGGAGAAGGGTATGTCATCTCTCTTCATTGAGTCCCTAAATCCATAATCGTCATAATTCCAGTTTGTCCATAAGTAAAACTACAGACAAGTTCCAAATGACAGATATCAGCAAAGGGCTTGACAGATTCCTCAAAATGACTAATGGACAAACACAGACTGACTGAAGAACATTTTAGATTTAGTAAGCCAATCATTTATCCCCAGCTGGTTGGTGAAAGTTGACTGTCTTCACATGATTGGAGGAAGCACACAGGGAGCCTGGGGACAGCTGTTTGGGTGGCTTTTGACATAAATGATGATAAATAATGACAAATATGGAAGTATCATAATACTATAATAATACTAATTCTTTATTAAAATATGACATTTACTAATTTTCTCACAATATTTGTTCTGTTATCAATTACTCAATCATATATTTACACTAATTTCCCTTAATTTATTTGAAGTAAGACTCCAATGAAAATTTAACACTGTGCTTTCTTCAAAAATCCTTTAGGTCTTTCTAGCTAGTAGATTACTGGCAGAGCATGGTGGCACTCTTAGCACTTGAAAGGCACATCTCTGTGACTTCCAAGCCAGCCAAGGCTACATAGTGACCCTGGTCAAGTTATTGCTGTGAACAATAATTTCATTAGGATGAAGAGCTCCTTCTTCTAAACTCTGTGGTATATCTTCCCTGTTTACATGGGGTCCCTAAAAACAAATGAGATGATCTGAGTATGAGGGAACAAGTGTGTGTAACGGTTATAGTAACAGACAGTGCTCACAATAGTTCAACTCACAGCACTCTTTGGTAATGATTGGTTGACCACAGTTAGGTATCCATGGAACTGAAGTAGGAGAGAACTGTGTTGGTTGTTTTTTGTCAATTTGACATAAACCTGACATATGGGAAGAGAAACTCTTAACTGAGAACATACCTCTATGAGATAGGCATGTAAGCAAATTTGTATGGTATTGTCTTGATTAATGATTGATGTGGGAGGATCCAGCTCATTACAGACAGTGATGACCCTTGGCAGGTGGTCTCGAGTCTATAATAAAGTAGGCTTAGAAAGCCATTGGTCACAAGCTAGTAGGCAGTAGTATTCCTCTATGACCTCCACTTCAGTTCCTGCCTTCTGGTTCCTGTCTTGAGTCCCTGTCCTGTGATAGAGTGTGACTTGAGAATACAGGCTGAAATAAATCATTCCCTCTGCAAATTGCTTTTGGTCATGGTGTTTTATCACAGCAAAAACCACTCTGACTAAGAGAGAGAGGTATGCCTTAGTCTTACTTCATCAGGACAAGGAAGAATTCCCAGGATTTAGTCAACTCAGTCTTACTTGAGTCTCTAAGGCCCCAGGTTTAAGTCAATGCTCAGTCATATCACACCTCACCTACCCCAGGGAACATCAGGCCCCGTGTCAATTATGGTATCCTATACACACACTAATTATCTGTCATCCAGACTGGCACAAAATCTTTTACAGTTATTCAGTTAGGTATCATGGAAACTTAATTAAGACTTTTAGAGATGGGTGAATATTTGGTACAAATGGCACTAATTTCTGGAGACCTAACTTGCCATTCTGCACCATCAGTCCAAGGAGGCATTTCCCAAGGAGAGATGATCGGCTGAGTTCTGTCTCCATTTCATGGTGTTTTTATGACTGCTATTTAGAAACCTTTGTTTCCTTACAGATAATATCTTGCTTCTTCCAGAACACTTTTAAGATTTTGTTTATTATTTTTGATTTTTAAAAATTTCTTTATCTATGTTTAGATGCAGATATATTGAGTTATATCCTGCATGAGGTTTCCTAGATTTTTTTTTAATTTAAAGGTTTATTATGTCAAACTACAATCTCTTTTCAATTATTTTTCAAAATAAATTTAAGAATTTACAGGTAAAATATGGATTTCATGTTTCTAGGTCTGTCTTACTAGAAAGAAAACTGTAAACACCTGAGAGATAAAAGATAGTCAATGTGATTTCTAGTCAGTTTGGAGGAGATTTTTGGACTGCCTCTAGATTCTGACAGTTTTCTCTATCATAGGAAGCTTTTTAATGAAACATCTTACTGTATTCAGTCTAGGAGCCAACATTTAATTTATTTAGTTTACATGATTTTTAAATAAACTTCGATTTTAGTTGTTTGCTTAGCCTTGAAAACATACATAGAAGGCTAAATAAAGCTTGTTTATGTAAATAAATTACATTTGTACTTAGCATCATTGCAAACATAGTTTTGAGTACATTAAATAATTACATTATTTATAAGGTGACTATTAGCTTACATGCCCAATTATCTTTAATAGTTTATAAGAAATCAGCAGGGTTTTTTTCTAAATAAGATTAGGATTTTATAGTTTTATCCATGTCAAATTGCTTTTAAAAATTACAATTGATCTAAAGAAGAGATACAGGAGTTGATTTTAAGTTACATATAAGCTTGCAGAAGCAAACTAAAGATATCTATGTACAGATTTCTAACTATTAATATTTTTGTTGCATTTACAAATATTATTTATTTATTTATTTATTTATTTATTTATTTATTTATTTATTTAATGTACATAGGTACTCTGTCTTCATGCACACAAGAAGAAGGCATCAGATCCCATTACAGATTGTTGTGAGCCACCATGTGGTTGCTGGGAATTGAACTCAGGACCTCAGGAAGAGCAGTCAGTGCTGTTAAACACTGAGTCATTTCTCCATCCCTTTGCTACAAAATTTAAGCTAAGATTTTTCTTTAGAATTTTACAGGTCCCCTCGCTCCTCCCACAATAGTCTTACAGACCCTGAGAGAAAGGAAGTTCACATTTCATCAAGAGTTTGAATATCCATGACCTTGAATGGGGAATTTTGTTTTTTTCTGAACAAGAACTGAAGTGGGAAAGAGGTCAAAGAGATCTGTAATACATTTACTATTCTAGTTTTATATAAATCATTTTTATTAAAAATTTAAAATACATGAGATATAGCAATAACAAGTTTACCATTGGCTGTAAGAAAATTTTTCTTAGGAAAATTTTTTCTATTGATGCATAAATTAACCCTCCCCTTATTCTTCCATTTCAACTTGTATACCATAGTTTTTTTCAGAAAACCTTCAGGTTTCACGCAATTCAGGCCAAACCAGCTGTGAGGGGTGACTGGATACTTAGGTGAAGTTAAATGACCTTGACTATCTTCTTCTTTCTGAAGGAATATTGACATTTAACAAGTCTGGCTCGTATTATTTTAGACTGGCATATCTGGAGTGATTACTGAGAGATTTGAAACAGAGGGTCCTATTTTATTTCATTTTTAGTTTTTACATGTGTGCACATGGAGGTAAGCAACCTGAAAAGCTTAGCATTTTCTTTTTCTTATAAAGTCAGTCAATTGAAGAATAATGTAAGTTTTTGTAACCTAGAGGCCATTTAGCAGAAAACTTTAAAAACACACAGGGATCTACAGGAATTCAGAAAATGTTAGCATCAGATTGTTTTTGTCTCCTTTAAAGATTTTTAAACTCTGTTTAATAAACTTCCAAATGTTAAGGTAGAAAAAAATTTATATTCTTGCTGTTTTAAAGCACATAGTATTTTTTCAGCAGGGGTAGTTTAAGGCACAATCTGTCCAGTAGAAGAAAGCAAAACAGAGCATCAGAAGGAGGACACTTTGAGCAGCTCTCAGCTCAGGGGGTGTACTGTAGAGAAGCTTGGAGTTCTGAAGGTAGAGGACATGCTGGTGATGCTTGTGGAGAAGAAATACCATGTAGCCACTGGCCCCTCCCATGGCACCCTGACACACTGCATCTCTCAGGACCATGAGAGGGAGAAAAATACATTTTGTTTTCTGACTTGGTAAGATAAAATAACAATAGTTCTCTCTATTCTTAACAAGTAATGTATTCAGGCTTATACTTTTGATGGAATGGATTAGGTTCATACTTATTAAAGCATTGAATATCCAAAAGAATGAGAAGAATGGAAGGATGTGCCATGCAGACTTTGGCCTGAGTCTGCTCCACCCAGATGCTCTGGGACTGATGATAATGGCCTGGACCACAGTGAGAAGACTGCTGGTGCAGAGGGAGAGGCCACAGGCCACTCTCTCCAGGTAAACAATGACCTTACAGCCTATGTCATCCAGGAAGTTTCTCAAACCAAAAGCTGCTATTGTCTTTGGCAATCCTTTTACAAGAAGGAGTATGATATTTGTAAAAGCCAAGTGGATGAGAATAAGGTGTATGGGTTTCTTCTGAGGGCCTCCCCACCAACTGAACATATAATTCACAGAAATAGACATGTTCCCCAGAGTGCCAACCAGAATCATGAAGAGGATAACCATTTTCTCAATAAACTTCAAAACCATTTTTTCTTTCTAGGTAGAAAATCGTGTATCCAGGATGCAAAGATCTTTTCCAGAAAGTAATAGTAATGCTTGACATGGACCTGAACAGCAAGCACATTCTGCATAACAGCATTTTCTGGTGTTCATGAGGCAGAGTTGAGCATGTGTCATGTTCCAGATTAGGTTCCTCAATCTCCCTCTTTGTTTGACAGATTCTGACATATTGTGTGTGCTCTCACAGGTGAGTTTGTTAACTGTTATTCAAATTGTAAAGTTTTAAAAGGGATATGTTTTCCCTTTACACTAACAAAATTGATTTTTTAAGCATGAATGTGTGTGTGTGTGTGTATCTGTGTGTATGTATGTGTGTATATGTATCTGTGTCTGTGTATGTCTATATCTGTGTCTGTCTGTATTTGAATTATCCATGTTAACTCTCAGCATAGCTGAATTGAACTCCAAGTTTCTCCAACCAAACTTTCTTCACTGTTTCTTACTCTGTTTTATCATATTTTCCATCCAGCTTCCAAAGTCTGAGGTTCCATCTCATTTGCATCTTGATCAGTTTAACCATTTCTACATTTCATCTGGCTACAAAGCTTTAGAACTCCAATTTCTACATCATAATATTTAAAATTTTTTATACTGACCATTTCTGTGATTTCACTCCATATAAATATTAACTAGTTGTTTTTTAAACATATTTCTCAGTGTCAAGACAAATTGAAAAACCATTGCAGATAGGGCCCTGCAATTAAAGTTAAATCATGAAAAATATGGCGAAAAATTTATATTATCCCTGGTTGCATCCAGAGTGGGTGTCTAGGCTAACCCCATGGTGCTTCCTAGGAGAGGGGATAGCATAGAGCTTCTGGCATCTGTGACTCCAGTGAATGACCTCAGGCCATCTAAGGGAGCAAGGAGCAGTTCTGGATCAGGGAGTGACTATGAGGTGAACAGGAGATTTGTACTAAGGACATGTCATACGCTTTCTGCCTTGAGATGAGTGAAGTTTTGAGTTATGAGTCCTCAGTGTCACCGGCAGGTAACACAGTAGCTTGGACTGTATTGCTGTGAACAGAGATTCCAACATCTAAGAGGTCATGCTGGCATTTGCCTCTGTGTGTCCTTTTGAACAGCAGTTGTGACACTTGGATCTCAGCCTGCTTTTCCTCTAACTTGTTTGTTTGCCAGGCAGGTTGCATTGTTCTACATCCATCCCAGGTAAATCCAGAGCTTAGACCTCCACAGGATGTTATTCTTCATGTTCGGGAGCTCCACTCTCATTTCTCAGGGATTTATGGTAAACTTTGGGCACCTTTTCTAAAATAACAGGAGTCCAGATACTTCAGTGGCTCCACGGATTTGTGTGTTCTGAGTACTTAGAGTGCCTCTGTTCTCTGCTCTCCTTCCTGCTAAGCTCACAGGATTATTTAAATATCTGGGTCCTGATGATCTCACAAGTGACCTACATGTTAACTTTCTTTACCGCTTCTGGTTCCGGGGGGACCTTCTCATTCTGGAAACGTTACTCATTGCCTTTCAACTGCTACTCTAACAAAGAAGTAAGCATTGCCCATTTCAGTGCTTCCTAGAAATCACAATACCATCCTAAATCTCTGAACATATTTAAATATGCCCCAGATATTAATACCATCACATCAGCATTCATTAACGTATTTAATATAAAAATTAAATGTTCAGTTGGTGATTGCAGTCTGTAAAACCCTTGCTATCAATTCTCTTCAGTTTCTGATAAAGAATAGTAATATTAATCTGTTGTTTAATGCTTGGTTTCCTGGGGATTCTTACTTTTCTAGACCTCTCTTCCCTTTTCCAAACTTCAAATCATATTTGAGAGCAGATTCTGATGTTCTAATACACAATTCCTTTTACTGAATTCGACTGTCAAAGGAGGGAGAGGCGACTCATCTTCCATGTTATCTTTGGAACTGCTATAGGGAATTAATGTAAAAGACAGGATGTACATCTGTTTAGGTAGATGGATGATTCTTGTTTAGGTCTAACCTTCAAGAGGCTGAGGTAGGTTACAACTATCCACCCTGGTTTTCTAAAAGAAAAACAAGGAAGCAAACAAAACAAAAAAGACTATACTTTTTGCTACTTAGTGTTGAGCCAACGTTAAGATGAGCTGTTTCAGGATATGCTAGTTCACAGCCTGGATCCTTAGAGCAGGAATTCTCAAGACTGTAATGATGATTGTAACTCTTAGTGGTTTACAGTTCTCCATTCCAGCTATGCATACAATGTGTATAGTTGAGATGAGTGTGCTTGATATCATGTGATGGACAGATTTTAAGGATGGATACAGAAGGAAAACTTTCACATTAGGAATTATAAAATTATTGTAAAAGAAAACATGTACCAATATTTGAAAACTGGAAATGCACATTCGTGAAAAGTACAATCTTTATAAATACTCGTGACACTGTTGGAGTCACAATGCCTGCAAACATGGTCCTAAACATTAATTTTAGTTTGTTTTTGTTTTGTCACTTTAATTATGAGACAGAGTCTCCCTAGATTAACCACTGAAAAACATTTATTGTCTCAGACTCTCCACCGCTGATGTTATGGGAGTGTTTCATTAGTGTCTCAAGTTTTTGATAGACAGCTGAAAATCGTCTCTTTCTTACTGATTCCCAAACAAACAAACAAACAAACAAACACAGATAGAGGTAACCTTAAGCAAAGACTCACCCAGGGCTCTGTCCTGACTCCAGCCTCAGAATGGATAGCGATCCCTCAGCATTTCTATCCCACTTATATGTAAGTGACATAGGACCCTCCTCCTTTGATCTTTCTGGTCCCAGGGACCAGACCTGTCAGAGTCAGGAGGAGAGTAGAGGACCCAGGGTTAACAGAGTCTCTCAACTCTTCCCTGGGTGAATCAGAGAGAGACTTCAGCTTTAATGCATCACTCCATGGCACAGCTGAGTGGATCTAAGGTGTTACCTCCATGTACTCACCTGGACCTCTGTAGTGCTTCAGACAAACTCTGGAGCAGCTCTGGGAAGGTCACACTTGCCAGGTCATATTTGTACTGTCTGGATCTGGGGGGCTCTTGGCTGCCGTCAGGTACTGCAGACTTTAGGTTTCATGTTGTCACACTGTCAGGGAGAAGGAAGGCCACTGTAGGGCCTCAGTCCCTGAAGTACAGCTTCCCTCTCTTCCACAGTTACAGCATGTTTTGCTCAGAAGTTATTTCCAGCTTAATTAGGGTTTAATTATTTTGAGTGGAAGGATGTGAGGTGAGAAAATGAACAACTAACCAAGTTCTGTGTACTGAGCTTCCCACATCTCCTGACTTCTTTTCACTGTGTTAAAGTTCCAAGCTGTGGCCTGACTGGGGACTGACTTCTGTCACACAGGCCTTGCTTTTCCTTCTCAGATCCCTTGTTAGACAGGAACAAAGTAAGTGATGCTCAGAGCCCTGGGATCCTGCTTCCTTATGAAGTCATGGATAAGGACAAGTTTAGGGTTCCTTGTGTCAGTCGGTATTGAAGGTCTTTGCTGTAACTGATTGTTTATTTCCAACATTGACCTTATTCTAAGAGCAATCGTTACTTATTATAAAACTTCAACAAAACTTCTAAAATTAATGTGTCATTTCATATATTTTTCAATCCAAGCCTTTACTGCCTTGGATGCAAACTAATATAAATAAATGTGGGAGCAGAGCCAAGGTTCTTGAAGAAAAAGCAGCACTGGCTTGTCTGAGGAGATAAGTTTGAGGTCACTTGTCTCCATCTGTGCCCTGTGTGATGGTGTCTCCATACATGTAAGTGCAGATGAAACAACATAGAAGCTAAAGAAGCTTCTTCTGTTTATGAAAGGGCAGCTGTTGAGGAAAGTAGGATTTCCACAACCTCTATTGGTTATGGAATCTATGTGCAGAGGAACTTAGTTGTACATTATATATGTAAAGGTAGATAGATCTTGAAAAATAAAATAATTATCTTTGGTCAAACAAGAAGTGCTTTCTCCTGCTTGCTTTGTTATTTTGTTTAGAATATTTCTAAATTCATCTTTATCTTTGAAATATAAAGAAAAATAAAACAACTTAAAGCTTATAGTGCTATAAATAAGTTGTTCAATAAAACAAAAGAAAATATGAAAAGGGGAACCCTTCATGCAGTATCCATTCTGGAGGAATTCTGCATGGAAATTTGTTCACCAGCAGACAGAACACATGCTGTGAGATTTATGGAGGAGAAACACCACATAGCCCATGGCACAGTCATAATTTCCTAAAACAAGAGCCATAAGAATGAGAAAAATTCACTTTATTAATCAGCTTTAGTTGTTTAATGTTTTGCCTGCATGTATGTTTATGCACCACATGTGCATATTGCCCATAAGGGCAGAATAGGAATTTGGATCTCCTGGAAGTGGAATAACAGATAGTAGTCAGCTCCTATATGGGTGCTGGGTAATAAACCTTCAGCTTCTGCATGAGCAGCAAGTGCTCTTAATCCAGTAATCATATCTTCAGCCTCTATTGTAGAAGTTTTTTGTTAGATAGTCTAGGGTTCTGGGTGTGTGTGTGTGTGTATATTACTTCTTCCATTATCATAACTTTATTTACATATACATATACACAAACAGATATATATCTCAAGCATGTATGTGTGTCCATCATGTGTGTTTTCTATGTCTGGTGTTTGTGACTTTCTGTTTTATGTCGTGTCCACCCTCGGCCAGCAAGGAAGATGCAACGCTCGAGCTCTTCTCCAAGCAGTTTATTCAGGACCCTTGAACAATCTTCTGACTGACAACCCCGGGGGAAGCATCTCCCAGGCTTAAGTACTCTAGGAATAGCCAACTCCCGTCTGCCACGTGGCAACAACAGATAGGTACACACACACACATACACACACACACACACACACACACACACACACGAAGACAAGCCAGATCACCAGCCACAGCCAAATAAGGACTTATTTACCCTAAGAGTCCTCGCCAACAGGTGGCAAGGACTTGTTTACTCCTAAGAG